TTAACCTGCTGCACTCACTTTTTATTATATGCATATGCCTGTACGGCTCTCAGCGCAAAATTTGGCCATCATTGAAAATACCTTTTGGCATACATCAGTTATAACTGAAGCCAGTAGAAACTTGCCCTTAGCTTTGGCTGAACAGTAACTCAGTCTTGTCTGGACTCTCTTTTTGGTGAAGTGGCAGGAAAAATCTCTGTTCTTCTTTGAGCCAACTCATTTAAAAAAAAAAAAAAAAGTTTCTTCTTTTAGTATATGATTTTTAAAAGAAACTGAGAATTTATACTAAATCAGTTACTGGTTTAGAGTAGGCTTATAACCTTAGAGTAGGCTTATAACTAGATAATAAATCTTTGGTGAATGAAAACAAACATGTCCATAAACGTTACTGCTATAAGGGACTATGTACTTGGGAACTACGGTAGTCATGTAGCCAGAATGTGTCTCGGGCATTAATAACCCTTTTTCAAGTTTCTCTTTATTCAAAAAAAAAATCAGCTTTTTGAGCCAGTGGTACCAAGCTTGTCAATTGCCAATCTGTGACTTCACGTTGCGAAAATGGATCTCTGGAGACAAGAGATATCAGCAAAGAGATTTGCATCCAGCAATACTGTATAGGTCATTTGTTAAAGCATTTCATCTGCCATGATCACATTGAAAACCCAAACTGTATTTTAAGATCTTTTCTACTGCATTAGCAGTTTTGAAGATATAACTAAATCAATCTGCAACAGATTCAGTAAACTGACCATACACAAAAAAAAAAAAAGGAAAAGTTGGTACAGTTATTTTTCAGTCAGTTTTCCAATGCATCTGGAATTGGAAAGTGCAGTTGTTCCAGCCATAGACACATACTATTTTTGTAATTTTTTTTGTAGCCCAGGCACAGGGCTTACCCAGGTAAGAGGGTAATGTTTTGTTACATGGTCAATGGCATTTAATTTTGGGAAACTTGTATTATGTAGATAGGATTATATGTTTTAAGAAAGGAGTCTCAGACATTACTGCAGGAGATTAATTAGGCTAACCTCATTATTTGTTTTACAGACTAGGAATTGACTTACTCCTTATCTGTATAGCTAGAAACACAGGTCTCTCATTTTTTCCTGTCAACTATTCCTTCTAATCAGAACAGGCCTGCCTCTTGGGTGGGTGTTATCTTAATTGGTATCTTCAAAGTTCATATCAGCTCCTCTCTCTTTTGCCCCATGGTGGTCTTTAACCACTATTATGCTGCAGATCAGCAGTTCATATCTTTTCTTGTCCTACTAAATCCATCATTTTCTTTTCCTTGCAATACCTTTCATCTCTGCTGTCTTTGGTATGTAGTTGAAGATGGGAGTGATGTTTCTGTGCCAAGAACAATTACATTCCTTTTATTTGTACTCCTTCAGCAGCATTTCATCCTGTGCCTTTGTGCTTTACCAATACTTTCCAGGAAGGAATCTGTACAAGCTCTATAACCCTGTGCATGTCTGTACCTGCCTGGAATCTTCATCCTCATTCTCCTCTCCTGTGGTTTGTGGTAATTTTTTTCTATGGCTTCCAGGTCTAATCTTTCAGACTGCAGAACATAGTGCTGTTGCCTTCTTCCTACAAATGCAAAGTTTTATTGTGTTAGTGCTGAATGAGCTTGCTGTCATTCCACATCCGAGTAAAACTTGCTGTGTTTGGTTTTATAACAAACAAACAAAAAACCTTTGTATTTTTGTCTTGTTCTTTTCTCTCTTCTTAGCAACTCCTCCTTTATTTATCCCTATGCACCTCTCCCACCCTTTAATCAATTTTCCTTCTGTTCCAGAACCTTCCTGGCCTGCTTTTCAGCTTACTGTTTCTATCATGTATGTGATTCTCTCCCTTTCTCATAATTTATTTTCTCACATTGTCTGCATGGCAAAAATTATCAGCAGCAGTTTATATGAAACGGAAATACAGGTATGACCTTTGAAATTAATGAAATGGCCAGTAACCTATATGTTATCAGTATAATGCTGCATTTGTGCTAATACTAGGCTTTTCTATCTTGTTAATACTGATAATGGTATATATGGTGTTGATACTAATAGCTTACAAGCTCTGATAAGTTCCTTGGATCATCAGTTATTCAAAGTGACCTATTGAGGACTAGCTGTTGATGTGATATGGGTTGTCATCTTTGAATCCATAGCTGAAATCAGTTAAATAAAGACAAAGATATTTTAGTATGTGTTTTCCTAATACAGGTTTTCACTGTGAGCAGTAGCTCTCATTACTCTAAAAAGAGAGATGGCTTGTATGATTGCAGGTTGGAAAGAGATAATCTGACTGTACATGTTGCAAAAACTTTGGATGAAAAACAAACTTTTCTTCAGACTGTTTTGATATGATGATATGCATATTATCACTGTGGACCAGTTAACAGATGCAGCCTTTCCAGTATACAGTGTTTCCATTTATTTTGTTTCCAGTATGTTTTATAATATACCATGCTGAATATGCCACAAAGCAGTGTTGTTAAATAGTGCTACTACTGTGCTGTGTGCTGAAGGGTCATGTGCCCTCTGAATAACTCTGGGCACGCAACTTCTCTCATGTGGAGGCACACAGATCTATAAGAGCCTTGTGCTGAATGTGCTGAAAGGATACACTAATGCTGACATTCATAGAATCATAGAACCATAGAATAGTTAGGGTTGGAAAAGACCTTAAGATCATTAAGTTCCAACCCCCCTGCCATGGGCAGGAACACCCCACGCTAAACCATGTCACCCAAGGCTCTGTCCAACTTGGCCTTAAACACCAACAGGGATGGAGCATTCACAACTTCCTTGGGCAACCCGTTCCAGTGCCTCACCACCCTCAAAGTAGAGAACTTCTTCCTTATATCCAAACTAAACATCCCCTGTTTAAGTTTTAACCCATTACCCCTTGTCCTATCACTACAGTCCCTAATGAATAGTCCTTCCCCAGCATCCTTATAGGCCCCCTTCAGATACTGGAAGGCTGCTATGAGGTCTCCACGCAGCCTTCTCTTCTCCAGGCTGAACAGCCCCAACTTTCTCAGCCTATCTTCATATGGGAGGTGCTCCAGTCCCCTGATCATCCTCGTGGCCCTCCTCTGGATTTGTTTCAACAGTTCAGTGTCCTTTTTATGTTGAGGACACAAGAACTGTGCACAGTACTCCAAGTGAGTTCTCACAAGAGCAGAGTAGAGGGGCAGGATCACCTCCTTCAACCTGTTGGTCACACTCCTTTTGATGCAGCCCAGGATACGGTTGGCTTTCTGGGCTGCAAGCGCACAATGCCGGCTCATGTTCATTTTCTCACTGACCAACACCCTGAAGTCCTTCTCCGCAGGACTTCTCTGAATCCCTTCTCCACCCAGTTCAATTCTCCACCCAATTCAAGTTGAGCTGACAGTCCTTTGAAAAGGCTGTCTCTTCTTCTCAGTTTGACTGCCAAAGTTTCTTTACAAGGAGTACTAACTTAAACAATGACCTATAAAACAAAGATGTTAAAAGCATATAAAGAATTTGCTGATGATACAAAGCTGGAGTGAGTACCTAATACACCTGAAGGTTGTGCTGCCATCGAGGAGGACCTTGATAGGCTGGAGAATTGGGCAGGGAGAGACCTAATGAGATTCAACAAGGGCAAGTGTAGGGTACTGCACTGGGGAGGAAGAACCCTAAGTACCAGTTGGAGGCTGATCTACTAGTGTGGAGTTCAGCTGAGAAGGACCTGGCAGTATTGGTGAATGATAAGGTGACTATAAGTCAGCAGTGCGCCCTTGTGGCCAGGAGGCCAAGAGTATCCTGGGGTGCACTGGGAAGAGTGTGGCCAGCAGGTCAAGGGAGGTGATCCTCCCAATCTACTCAATCCTCATGAGACCACATATAGAATACTGTGTCCACTTCTGGGCTCCTCGGTACAAGAAAGAAAATGAGCTACTGGAGAGGGTCCAGCAGAGGGCCACGAGGATGATCAGGGGTCCGGTGCATCTCTCTTATGAGTAAAGACTGCAGGAACTGAGACTGTTTAGTCTAGAGGAAAGAAAATTGAGACAAAATCTCATTAATACATATAAAAATCTCAAAGGTGGGTGTCAAGAGGATCATCAGACTCTTTTCAGTGGTGCCCAGTGACAGGACAAGGAGCAGCAGCCATAAACCAAAATACAAGAAGTTTCACCTCCTTACTTTGAGGTGAAACTTCTTGTATTTGAGTTTAAGAACTTCCTTACATTGAGGGTGGCAGAGCGCTGGAGCAGGCTGCCCAGGAGTCTCCCTCTCTGGAGAAATTCAAAACCCACCTGGATGTGTTCCTGTGTAACCTTCTCTAGGTGGCCCTGCCTTGACAGGAGGGTTGGACTAGATGATCTCTGGAGCTCCCTTCCAACCCTAACGAGTCTGTGATTTTGCTGATAAACTTGTTAGTAGGCACATTCTTTTGCAGTTGTTAGTACAGAATGATGTATCTTCAATCTGTGACACATGTAATGTTGGATAAATTTGTATTTCCTTCAGGAAAAACAAAATAAAATCTGGCTCTTCTGGGAAACCATTCATTCCAGAAAATGTAGAGGGGGAATACTTTTAAAAAGTGAGAAAATATTTTGGGTTCCATACGGAGTGAATAATGAGTAACTCAGTCAAGTGTAAATGACTTAAAAGAAAATGTCTATGAAGAGATAAGCTACCTGGTAATTTTTTTTCTGTTAGGCAGTAAATCAGCAAGGGGCATGCCAAAGGTAAACTTTCACTTCAAAATTATTCTAAATTAGGATCTTAAAATTTGGCCTTGGGAATCTGTACATAGAGTTCTGGATGGACTGTGGGTAAAAAAAGGTATGCTGCGAGTATTCTACTCTACCTTTGTTCTGTTTTACTTCCGTTTGGATACACTGTCATCACTCTTAATCTGGTGAAGTCATTTTTGAAATTGTGGTTTAAAATCAGGTATTTTACAATTCCCACATATCATCATAAATCCTGAATGTTTGGTTTTATGTTTCATTGCAGCAGAAAACAGATGTGCCACTTCAAATGCAGCAACATGCACAAGGTGCCTTGCTTTGGGTCCAGAGTGTGGGTGGTGTGCTCAAGAGGTATGGCAGTTTGCTTATTTACATTTGACTTTATATTTTAGCTGTTTCTGGTTTGTAAAGGTAGAAGACTTCTAAACTGTGAAAATCATAGTGAGAAATAGCAAGAAAATCTTTAAATGACCCCTGGAGACAGAACCTGAGAAATTGTGTGAAATATACTTTCCAAAGGAGAAAATACAATCTTTTATTTCGGAAATTGCAGTAAATAATAAAGTGAGACATTTTTAATAAATAAATACATGAAGTGAGAACTTTTTAATGCATTCCATGTGCTTTGTAGACAGCTTTGGCAGACTTATAGTAGCTTTTAGAGTTCAGCATCTTTTGGCTTCAAAAGCAAAATTACTTATCAGTAATTTATGTTAAGTCCTTATATATCAGAGCAAGTCTATACATATGCCTGTTGCATTTAGCAAAATGCTTTACAAACAGTGGAGTTAACTTTGACTTCACCATATATTATGACCCTGTCACAAATGGAAAAAAATTACATTTTTCTTGTTTTGACACTAGAAACTATCAGTTTTGAGACTTACTACAGAAGATAGATCTTAAGTAGCAAGGATTACCTTGAAATTGTTATTGCTTTCTGAACTATAAGAATATGGGAATCTCAGGTTTTGTCTGACAGAAAAAAAAAACGGTTGAGAACATAATTTTGAGTGAGGCTGATCCATTTTAAGCACTTCAGAGAGCAAGGTTTTGAAGACTACCACTGACAATTCCAGGCTTACATGCTCTTGAAGGTCACACGCAAATTATCTGTAGTAGCTTTCAGGTTAGCACAGAAGGTAAATAAGTTCCTAGGGTGTGCCTAGAGGCAATAAGAAGTGTAAGGCACTGGCATAACTTTATCTGAGATACAGTATTTTGGAATTATTAACTTAGTCTGCAACCAGTCTAAGGATAACTAATGCAAGGATGAATAGAGGGCATGGAAGTCTCGATTTCCAAGAGGAGCCTTAGGGCATCTGTAGGTGGCACAATGGATTATAATGTGGAGAAGTCCATTTAACCATGCCAAGCGCAAGGTCCTACACCTGATCAGAGCAATCCCAGGCACAGCTACAGGTTGGGCAGAGAAGATATTCAGAGCAGTCCTGCGGAGAAGGACTTCGGGGTGTTGGTCAATGAGAAAATGAACATGAGCCGGCAGTGTGCGCTTGCAGCCCAGAAAGCCAACCGTATCCTGGGCTGCATCAAAAGGAGTGTGACCAACAGGTCGAAGGAGGTGATCCTGCCCCTCTACTCTGCTCTTGTGAGAACTCACTTGGAGTATTGTGTGCACTTCTGGTGTCCTCAGCATAAAAAAGACATGGAACTGTTGAAACAAGTCCAGAGGAGGGCCACAAGGATGATCAGGGGACTGGAGCACCTCCCATATGAAGATAGGCTGAGAAAGTTGGGGCTGTTCAGCCTGGAGAAGAGAAGGCTGCGTGGAGACCTCATAGCAGCCTTCCAGTATCTGAAGGGGGCCTATAAGGATGCTGGGGAAGGACTATTCATTAGGGACTGTAGTGATAGGACAAGGGGTAATGGGTTAAAACTTAAACAGGGGATGTTTAGTTTGGATATAAGGAAGAAGTTCTCTACTTTGAGGGTGGTGAGGCACTGGAACGGGTTGCCCAAGGAAGTTGTGAATGCTCCATCCCTGTTGGTGTTTAAGGCCAAGTTGGACAGAGCCTTGGGTGACATGGTTTAGCGTGAGGTGTCCCTGCCCATGGCAGAGGGCTTGGAACTTAATGATCTTATGGTCCTTTACAACCCTAACTATTCTATGATTATTGTGGCCTGATATTCTGTCTTACAAAGGGCACAGTTTTATCCTACTACATTTGTATTTATCACGGAGCACCCCTTGCTAGCTTTCCAGTACTATGGAGCTGCAGTAGGTCTCCTTCTGACAAGGTGCTCAGATTCAATCAGTTTCACTTCTGGTCTGCTTCTCTTGCTTTACTTCTCACACTTCTCATGTCAATCCTGAGATCTGTTTATGGAAATCATGGATTTGTCAAATCCTCTTTGACCACACTTTTGATAGCCAGTTCACCTACCAACATCTGTGGCTGTGGAATGCTAAAACCCATACTAATGGAGATCAAAACTTCCCAAAGTAAAGTTACAGGAGCAGATTTCAGCTTAGCATGCCTGCTTCATTTAAACATTTTTAATGAGAAAATCAGCCTTGAGGAGTACTTGAGATGCTTTGACTTCATACCCCACACAGTGAACTGCAGAAAATGCAACATATCAATTGTTAGTGGTAGCAATGAGAGCAGCTAATGTCTTTAAAGATCTACCTTTTTGAAACATGCATACATCAAAAAGAGTATTTAAATAGCAGTTAGTTAAAATGCTATTCTCTGTAACGTATGTTTAAGCTTGTGGAAAAAATGTATCAGAGGTCAACTACAAAAATAAGTTGAAACTTGGAAAACAAGATATATGACTGTTGAGTCTCATTCTTCAGGGGCTTTCTCTGGTCTTTTCAGGGTCTGGATGACTATTCGCATACACAGTTGGCTGTATGCACTTTTTGATTGTTTATTTTGCCCATTTGCCTCTGAACTATCAGATTGCCCATTGTTTGCTCTCCAGCTGTGGCTGGGATGGACTGATGCTTTGAAAGAGTACAAAGGATCTTGTCTTTTTTTGTCTTTTTTTTTCTGTTCATGTCATGTTAATCATCAGATTTGTGGTCAGGAAGGAATTTTGCATTGGATCATGCTGGCACAATTTTAGCAAATATGCCCTTTCACTGCAAGAAAGGATATGCTGCTTCCAAGATCATCCTACTACTAATCACTCTAACCACTTTCATGTTGTTTACAGGGGCTTTTTTATATTGGTGGCATCTTAAACTGTCCAGTCCTGTAGCATATAGCTTCCTGTTTCTGGAGATTGAAATGATGTAGTCAGCTGGTCCTTGGTTTTGGTGTAGGGTACGGATTAAGACATCTGTGATAGACAAATTCAGGTTAGGTAAATCTAAAGCTATCTTCTGCTGCTACTTTTAAATATTCGCCTGAGGAATATTACTAGTGGATTCCTCTGAAAACTAACCTGTGTTGATGTCATGTGAATGACACTTTCTTGCTATAACTAACTCATAGCATAGCACAGAACATTTTTTAGTGGTATAATGATAGTACATTTTCCTTTTCTCCAGTCGGCTTGTTCTGATTGTGCAAGATCCTCTTTCTCCTACAAAAGTTTTGTCGTTTGTAGAAAAAAATTATTGTGGCAATTAGGTTTAACTTATAATTTAAATATTTTGTCATTGCTCTTATTAAAAACATATGGCTTCCATGAACTTGTTCTACAATTTATGTAATTATAGTAGCATTTTTTATTGTTTCAAAGACTATTATTTTGTTCTCCTTTGAAGATATTGCAGTTGCTTTTTCTGTTCAGATTGTTTTGTACTTTGTCTCTTATTAAACAGGATTTCATGGCTGACACAACACAGAAGGGACGCTGCGACACTGTTTTCAACTTAATGAAAAGAGGCTGCCAATCAGATTTTGTAGAAAATCCCACAGTTCATGTGACAGTGTCCAGTGACCATGAGACAAATACACAAGTGACACCTGGAAAAGTTTCTGTCCAACTGCGTCCAGGTTGGGTTGTCTCTAACACATTGATGTTATAGTCAGTTTAAAGTGCAATAATATTGAGTACAGATATTTTGTGAAGAAGTGGCTGGAATAATTAATTTGAAGAGCAATACTATAATCACACTGTGATGGTGTTGCTCTCATATTCAGGTACTGTCTTCATCGAAAAGTGTTTCTGTCATATACTGCTGAAGATCAGAATAATGCAAGCAATAAGTGGAAAAAATATTTTACGTAGTCTTTTCTGTTTTCCATTGTGGTTTCTTGAACTTTTTTCTTTAGACACTTCACAAATAGCTTTCCCTTATGTACATATAATACGGTATCAACTGTATTCCTTACTGAAAAGAAATTGAGTTAGAATTTCTGAATTTATCATTTGATAATTGTCATACACTCTCTATAGGTATATCTACATGTATACACTATATGTCATACAAATACTTGGTTACTTTTAAGTGCATTGACTAGACAACCACAAAGATGTCATAGTCAATGTATAAGAATGGACTGGATTCTTAAAGGAGACAGGTATTCACTGCCTGACATTTCACCTGCCTCTAATAGAATCTACAAGTCCCTTCATGGATCTGAGATTTTCTGCTTGCCCTCAGCTGAGCTCAAGTTAAATCAGTGTATGTTCTCCGTCCCTAAAATAGTTGTAGACAACAGCAAAACTGGAAGGTGGTATGAAAGGATGCAGGGTATGTTTCATATTGTAAAATTTATTTCCTTTGGCAAATGAGAGTTGGAGAAGAATATGTCTTTTCCAAGGGATCAGTCTTTGGTAGAAAAACATTAAGTGAACAGGAAAAATATCTTACTGATCTTCACTGTATAAAAGATAATTTTTTGTCAGTTACAGGAAGACTCTTCATGGGTGTAAAGCACAAATGAGCTCTGGTTTACCGTCTTTATAATAATAAAACTGAGAAAGTAACTTGAGCACTTCCTCTCCTTTCCCCACTCTCCCTCCAAAGAAATGAACAGTACTCTACTTTGTACTGAGAAATGGTGAGAAACTGAGCTAGCTCTAGATGTGTCTGTAATCACATTTATTTTCAAAGGCATACTTGATTAAAAGAAAAAAAAAATATTTTTCTGAAATTTGTTTTAATGAACCTTTTTGCCACTAATCAGTGAGATTAAGTTTAGGGTTCCATATGCTTTGTAGAAGTTCTTCCATCAGGGAGGCAGAAGACTAAAATCTCTAGAAGTATAACTTTTGATATATAGACATCTTGCCCGTATTTTATAGCCCAGGGAAATACATAGATGTACAGCTATAGTCATGCCTCAAACCAGAAATCTGATACAGTATAATCATGCAGGCAAATATGTTTTTTTGATGTTTTGATGCTGGGTTTTTTTGTCACTGTTTACATACAGCCAACCGTCAGGATTGACATGGGAAAAAAACAAAAGCTGCACTCAGCATCTCACTATATGCAAACTAGAGATCTGCAAAGGTCATTTACAAAAAGTAGTTCCATTTACATTGGCAAAGAGGAAACGCACAAGTTACAGCACACTGAAATTCTGTTTTTCTTGCAAGACCTTATACAGGCAAATCGTGATATTTTCAAGTAGATTATGTTCAGATTGCTGAAAGAAAGCACTTTGCACATTTAACTTTTCTGGGTCAGATCTTTGTTGCATGTACTTGAATTATGCTATCTAGCAATGTCATATGCACTAGTAAATGTCATAGAGAAGTCACATTTCAGAGAAGGCATGTTTCAGTGTTCAGATAGCTTCTGCTGATGCCTATGTAATTCTTCTATAATGTCTCCCTTCCTCCTGTTCTTTGCTGTATCTTCATTGCATAATATTCAATTAGATTCTGCACTTATCATGCGAAGATTGTACTCCCTCATTTCTTCTGTGAGCTTGCAGTTTGGGTGACATAAAATAATGAACAAATTGAAGTCATGCATTACAGTACCTACACTGCCTGTACTCTAAGCACTTCACTCTTTTTGCAGGCATTACAATATTAGGCAAGCAAAAATGTAGGGACTATTTTTAGTGACTTCCAAAGCATTAACATTCTTATTTCATACAAGAATGTCATGTGCTTCTGCAGGAGATACAGACATTTGTCATCCTAGCTAAAAGAAGAGTTCCATTTTGTATACACCAAAAGATGGATTTTCTGTTTTCGTTTTAGATTAAACCCTCTTTTTTTAAAAAAAAAAATGTTGATCCTACTGAGTTTTCTCATCAAATCTTTGGAGGTAGATTGGTATAAACTTGAAGTATAATTTACTGTGCTGTCTTTATGGTACACATGTAGTTTTAAACTTAGATGAGAGACGATTTGCAGGATACATGTACATACTTAAAAGTGTCAGCCTTGAAGTGACTGGCCACAGTTTCTATGCAAATCTGTGTCCTTTGAGTCGTAACTGCTTTTTGGGGCAATGTGAAAGGGATTGCATGACCATGAATTAAAAGAAAATGAGGAGAAGTCAGATTTTTACAATAAATTGCTCCTTCAAGGAAAAAAAAAAAAAGGCAACGTGTTCTACAAAGAACCCTTTCATGGCTTATATTTGAGTAATGCTTCAAGGTTTCGTTTTCTCTTGGGAGGTTTTCTTGTTTGTTTGTCTTCTGTTTGCTGACATAAAGAACTTTGTGCTGAGGTTCCTGCAAAACTAAATGTTTTTTAAGAGTGTCCATTAAAAATAGTGAATAAACTTATTTGTTTCCTTTGAATTAGGAAGTGAAGCAAACTTTATGTTAAAAGTTCGTCCTCTAGAGAAATACCCTGTGGATCTTTATTATTTAGTTGACGTCTCAGCCTCTATGCACAACAATATAGAAAAACTAAATTCCGTTGGATTTGCTTTATCTAAAAAGATGGAGAATATTTCTCTTGATTTTCGACTTGGGTTTGGATCCTATGTGGATAAAACTGTGTCACCCTATATTAGCATTCATCCGGGCAGAATCCATAACCAGTGCAGGTATGTTGTCTTTGTATATTTATTGTACAACTGAGAAATTACTTAAGTACACAAATATGCATTATGCGTATTTATTTTTAAAGCTCTCCAGAGTCTGTCTGTGTTTCATTATACCTTGGTTCTCCAGCAGAGTTCCTAAGAAAATGCTGAAAGTTATTATATAATGATTACTTCTGAAATATCTGGTGAGTGATTTCAGAAAAACTGTTTCTGTATCAGATAAAATGTGCTGGGTTGGTTTTGGGTTGTTTTTTGTTTTTTGTTTTTAGCAAAACAAGCCAAACGACATGCTGCTTTGGTATACTTGAATATGTTTTGCATTTAATTCTATAATCTAATATTTTGTTCTTAGTTACTTTGCATATATGTTGCATATGTTGCCTAGATTCATCACAAAGTTTTGTACTTCCTGAGTTAGGACTTAATGGTGTATGGCTGTATATTCATGAACTCTTAAAGTGCTACTTCTGTCTCTGTGATACAGTTTCTTTCAGCTAATTTAATGAATAATTAAAGAGAATCCTCTGATCTAATTCCACTGTTGTAATATGAAAGAACTCCCATTTTAAATATGAAAGTTGGTTTGGCTTGTGGTTCTTTTTTCATCCCATGTCTTTTCTTTCTTGCGTTCAACACTTACATAAAGTGAGGGATCACTTCCAAAAGCCATGGGAGAACAAGATTATTCATGAGAAATTCAAATCTGTATAAACCATAATACTTGGAAAAGTGAATATTAACTGTTCATACCTTCTTGATTGTTATTATCTTTCCTGGGAAGGCATGATTCAAGGTTCTGTGAAGTCCATAAGTGTCTTTTTTTATTTCAGTGGTGTTTGAATTGGGCAGTAGGAGTGGAATTCATTAGGTTGATATAAATGTCAGTGTATAAAGCAGTCATCTAGACTGTGTAGTGAGTGGAGATCAATTACCACTTCTAGGACATGATTCATTTTGCCTAAAAGCAGATGTCTGAGGAAATATTAATCCTTACAGTGCCAGTTTCTCTTCCTTGACTGTAAACTGAGTTGGGCATGGGCAGGCTGTAGTCTGGATGCCTGCACTGCTTCTTCAGTGCCATGAACTCCACTGCTATAGATGGATCACAGAGCAATGACTCAAGTAAGCGCTGTGGCACTAGCTTACTTACTTCAAACTTCATACTTCTCCCTTATGCATAATTTCAAAGAGTATAATTTACAGCTGTTACTGAAAGTGGAGTTTACCATCCCTTTAATTGTCACTAATCTCAGCATTCACTTTATATACACTTACTGCTAGTGGATGTAGGAACTTATATTTTATTTTAGTTTTGATCCAGTCACCTGTGTATCAATACATTAAAGGATCTTAATGCTGCAGTGTGATAGCTCTTTTTCAAGATAATGAAAACAAAGCCGTATCACTTGATAGACATTCCTAAAGGGATTGTATACTCTCTGAGTCATACCATTGCTCATGTTGTGTTTCTTTTCATTCTGGACAGAAATACTACATATGTACTGTTACTATATTAAATTATATTATATACATTTCCATAAATGCCAAAAAATACATTTTTTTCATAGTAAATGAGAACTAATTCCTACTGAACTTAATGTGGAGTTATTCTTCTTTCAGTATTTCTTCTACTGTGCATCTATGCACTATGTAAATTACTAACAGGAATTTATAGGTTAATAGAGATTCAATATTTACAATTCAAATGAAAAATACAGAATGTGCTAGACTTTTGCTTTTTTGGTTTTTTACAGTGATTATAATTTAGATTGTATGCCTCCTCACGGTTATATTCACGTGCTATCCCTGACCGACAATATAGCAGAATTCAGAAATGCAGTTAATAAACAAAAAATTTCTGGGAATATTGATACACCTGAAGGGGGTTTTGATGCGATGCTCCAAGCAGCTGTGTGCCAGGTAAGGAGCTTATTAACAGAAGACTAAATGGTAGTTCAGACGTGTGTGTATATATATGTGTATATATACAGTTAAACAGCGCTCAATGTTCCTGATTTCAAAATGTCATTTCCAGGCCTGATAATGAGATTTCTTCCTCCTTTTCCATTATTTCCCCCTTAGCTATACATTTCTGTTTCCCACTGAAACTGAAAAAGGAGGGCCTAAGGGAACATTTGTCAGTATTGGTTCATGATATTCTTCAAACTCTGGCTTTAAACAGCCTAACTGACATAGGATGGACAATGAAAGCAACTGCTTCTTGCTTGAAGAGTATTAATTTCAGTTCACTACAAAATTAGTTTAAAAAATCATTAAAGCCCTCCTTGTGTTCCTAAGTGAAATGTCAAAATACCATCTGACATTTTTCTGAAAAACCTACTTGAAAACTGAAGGATCGGTTACATATCTGCTTGTGTAGATGAGGAAAACAAATGCATGTCAATGTTATCTCAGGTTTTAAATAATTTATATTTGAAAACAATACGAAACAAGTAAAAATTAACTGTTGTATCTCAATAAAATTTCATCACCATCTCTCCATGCAGAAAAGGATGGAAAAGATCTGCATCAGTAATTCCCAAGCTATAAACATGTTAAATAATAAGAATTTGTTTCTTCTAAAGGGCTATTTTGCATGTTGTTTGTCTTCTTTGCATAGTACTGCAATAGGAATTTTGAAAATTGGCTGATACATGGGTTTGCTAATTCTCTACTCTTTCTGTTCTCTTAAAGAAAGTAATTCAGCTCGTGTCCAAATCACAGGCTTAGTGTGTTTCTCATGCCTTGGGATGATGTCAGGACAGTTCTTTTATCTTGTCCATCCTCACTTTTTTTTTTTTTTGAGCAGTCAAATGAATCAAGGACAAAAAGTAACTCTATGCTAAAAATTAACAGTTTGGCCCAATTTTATTTTCAAATTTTGATGAGAGGTAAAACAGGTAAATAAAAACTACTCTTCGTAGACACCATTATCATAGCTGTTACAAAAAATCATTCTGAAGCTTTCAAAAAAATCCTTAAAATTCAGCGTTTGTCATTGGACACATTCCACACTTATGACATGTGAGCTCTAGAATATATGCTTCCAAAAACAACAGAATGGAAACATTCATGAGAATGGGGAGGTTTTCCTGGTAACTGAATTGTGAACCAAAATGAATGAGAACAATGTGCAATTCATAACAACCATCATGAACTATAATTTAGATTAATGCAGACTCATTTTGCCTAGAGTAGAACTTCATAACTTGCTCCATCTTGCTTTAGCCAGTACAGCCCTGTTACAAGAGGTAGCAGGTTAGGTCATAAAGCTCCTTTAAAGTTTTGGTTGCTGTGATGTAGGTAGGTAGGAGTCTTGAGGTGACAAGGTGAAATGATGGGAGTCTTAGGAACAAGAAGTTTCTGTGGTGCTAAAGGAGAAGTTGGGGTTATTTTAGATACAAACTGCTTATAAATAAAACTCAAAATATGTCTTCTTTAGGGGAAATGCTGTCTAGATTTATCTGAGGGAGGTTCATGCCTAATGTACTAGCTGGAAAACACACCACACCCCTCTGTACTTATTATCCCTACTGTTATGAGATACTTAATCCCCATTCAGAGGTAGGAGGGAATGAGCCTGAGAAGGGAGCTAAATCCCTCTCTGCAAAGCAAAGAAAGGAAGACAGAGAATAAGACAAAGCCTGGCTGAGTACGTGGGCTGTGTTGCTAATACGTTTCACGTGAAATGAAAGACACCTGGACATCTTAATGGTAGAGGTGAGGCAGAGTCATAGGATGGAGGAGCAAAAAAAGAGGAAAAGAGAGGAAAGCGGAATTAGTGAGTAAGATGGAGTAATCATGAAAGGGAATCATGAAAAATAATATGCAGTGATTTGTGTGTGCCTCTAGAGTTTAATTTAAAGGAGCCATTTATTTCTTGCAGGGAAATAAATGTTATGGAAATACAAGTTGGCACCTAACCCAGTTTAGGTATAAGCTTACCCTTCTACATTTTCACATCACTGAATTCCAGAAACACATTAAATCCACCCTTGTGGATGATGCTTTGTTATTAATCCCTTAAGATGGTGGATAGATGTAGTATTTTGCTGCATGATAATGAATTTCTCAATTTGCAGGTGCATGAAGACACACTCATTGATTTGTTGTTCACATTCAATGTCCTTTCTGGAAAGCTGTATAAGAAAACAAAATTATGGAATGCTGAGAAAATAAAGTAGATACATATAAAGTAAAAATAAAAGAAGGCACCAACTACCAGTACAAATGAATGCCTATTAACAGTTTGTAGTGCTTTTTGGAGCATGGGGTATTTTACAAATGCAGTGCATTTGCATTTGTACGTAACAGTGACACACCCAATGTGGCAGCTGTTAACCAAGCCCCCTGTGTAATGCATGACTTATGTATGTTTTGAGAGATCTTTCTAAAGAAAGATTTCAAAGCAAAGTGGTAAGTGAATCACTGAGTACAGTGGTAGCTTTCAGATGCAGGACATGATACACATTTCAACAGAAAATGCTTTATATAGCCTGACTTAAACTCAGTGCTGCTAAGCAGTGTAATATCAGAAACTAGATTTCAACATTCATTTTTCATGTTGTTAGTTATTATTTTAGAAAATAAGTAGCTAGTTATGCTGGGTTTTGGTTTTTTGTTTTGTGGTTTTTTTTAGAGCCATATTGGTTGGCGGAAAGAAGCAAAGCGACTGCTTCTTGTGATGACAGATCAAACTTCTCATCTGGCCCTTGATAGCAAATTAGCAGGGATCGTAATTCCCCATGATGGAAACTGTCATTTGAAGGATAACGTGTACATCAAAGCTACAAGTATGGTAAGGTATATGTCATAGATTCTGCCTTCAGAGAAGCAGTGTAAAACTACATAAAGGAAGGTTTATATCACTGTCAAAGCATTGCTCTTATTTCAGTTATCAGAATAGTATTTTTCTAGGTAGACAAGTTGTGAAATGAAGAATCAGTCACTTGGAACTATTGTCATTCTTTCTGTCTGTGATAAAGTATTTTGGAGTCTGAGACAGCAGCACCCAGCAGAGGAGGCTATGTTACTGCTTTTGGTGTGTTTTTTTTTATTGCCATCTAATAAGCATTACACACATTTTGATAAAATACATGTAGGAAATACCCTGTGTGGTATTTTGCACAAGAAGAAGCTGGTAAAATGTAAGAATTGCACAGTCCTGCTATACGACCAAGGTAGTGGTCAGTTTATGGTCACAGAGGCACAGTTGCATTGAATTTAAAGGGTTGGTAGGAGTAAAACAGAAGATGTACAGCAGCAATGAGTTAATCAAACATAATAGACTAGAAGATATTCTTGTGCCACAAAGCTTTTGTGGCAGTAATGCAGCATTACATTTGAATCTCATAGTCTAAAGACAATGTATGGTAATACATACCTGTGCAAAAATACTGTAGAAAATAATACTTCTTTAGCAGATATTTTTTGCTTATGAAATAATTTCTTCAGGAATTTATAAAGTAGTCATAAGTGATTGAAGAAATTATTGTTTTCCCTGAAATTTTTAATAGTTTTGTCTATGTGCTTAAAAAATTGAGTCATTTATGTAAGAAAAATGAATCACTACTTACTTGCCATGTAATCATCAGAAAGCAGAATTATGAACTGTGGTATCATTGGAGCACATTACAGTTTTATTCTTGCTGCATTTAGTTAAAGTATATGGCCTGTGTTCAGCCCAACCCAGCAACGTGCTGGTGAAAGCAGTGAGGGCTGTGTGTAAATTAGACTTGACCTGAACTTAATCCCAGCAACTGGTACTTACAAGGATAATGGGGCAGCAGGAAGCAACTGCCATATGGTATGTGATCATGACATTTTGGGAGGTTTCTGGGAATCAGTGGGTGTTCCAGGGCCTTGCTGAGTGGAGGAGGGAGCTGAGCATGTGCTAACAGGAAAGTTGTTTGGATTTCAAATTATCTGATGTTCTTGCATACATATACTCCCCCTGTCACCTCCTGGATATTCCCTCTCAGATGTCAGGATTATTTATTTTCCTCTAGCCAGTCTGTTCAGTTTCAGTAGTTTCAGAACAAGTCGAATCAGAGCTACTTGATAATTAAATGAAATGTCATGGGAGACTGACACTTTTTTTAAAAAATAGGTCATATGATGTAGTTTTTGCCCTCTTTTTTTATCAGTGCATTTTTGTTGTTCTGTGCACAATTAAAGAGCCATCTGTAATCACATTTTCCTACCTTGGTTTTTGGCATCTGAGTCTTGAGAACATTTCATTTTGGAATATTTTTATTTCTTGCTTGTGCCAGTTAAGAGGACTTTCCTTTATTTATTTGCATAAGCTCAGCCTTTACATCAGAAATGTTTCCAGTCACTTTTCTGCCTGTTTCTTTCTAACTTTTGCTAAGCAGTCACACAGTGTCAGCAAGAAAAGCATAAGACAGGAAAGAAATCTAGTCCATTTTAATTAGATCTGTGCTTGGTCAACTCCCTTTCTGAAATATTTAACATCTGTATTAGTTATCTTCACAGCTTAACACAGTGGGTTAAAATAATAAAATGAATGATGTAATTGGAACAAGAAAGATGATATAAAGTACATTTGCCTGAGCCGTAGTGGGAAGAGATAAGGTAAAAACATATAAAGTACAGCAAGCTTTTCACAGAAATCAAAGTGAGGCTTCACAAACAAGCAACAGTTTCTTATGTTGTCTTTTCATATGCTTAAATGAAAAAGGTAAGTGTGGGTCTGATGATGTTTGTTTGGTTAGACTTTTTTTTAATATCCCTTCTAAAATTAAGAAAATTTTTCTTTCCAACTTGAAGTGAGACTTTAATGTACTGCTAAGCAAGCTGGACACTGTAGTGAGTTAGAGCTGACAAGTGGAATAAAGTTCAACATTACTTGTAAGCAAACTAGGTAACTTGGAGATCCAGTCCCTGCAACCCTTGCACATCTGTGCATATCATCTCTTGACTTCAGTAAGCTCCATCTGAGTAAGTTTTGGTTTCATGAGCACTTGGAAACCCATCTCTGATACTACTGATCCCAGAGCCCTGCTGTTAGTTGCCAAGATGCTGAGGGGCCCCTCTGCTGGAATTCTGGCATGTCAAGTCTCAGTTGTTAAGAAGGAAGACTGATTTAATTGACAACCATCTCATGATACTTTGACACTGCCTGTCCTTCACATGCTGACAGTGCACATAGTATTTACAGAATGTCTGGATTCACTCTCCCTTGTCCTGGGACCACTTGGTGAGTCAGTGATCTGCTAGCCAGCTGCATGTGTCCTGTAGGGTTGTGCAGCACAATGGAGGCCCCACCACTGTGCTTTGTGGTCATGGAGAAGGAAGAAGGGCTTAGTACAAGCTGCAAGCTGCTGAAAATGGCAGCAAAACCACTGCTGCTGCAGTTCACCCACAGCTACTGTGTAGTGGGAATGCATACTCACTGGATCCTCATGTATGGCATACTCCCCAGTTGAAGCTGAAAGAAGGCCTATTTATTGCTGCGTTACCTTCATCACTTATCTTAAAGAATATAATCCCTTACCAAAGGGTGGAAAAGTAGAGAGAGGTGTGGACACTGGCTAAGATCAAGCCACAGTAAGAAACTCCTTTGTTCTTTCTATACGAGGTTCATTATAATGGTGTGATACGATGGAAAATTAATTTTGCCTCCTTGCTATCTCAGCTGTCTTGGCATTCAGATTACAGTTAGGAGAGCAGTTGACTTGCAGGGTGCCTTGAGTAACAAGTGGTACTCTGTGGAGAAATGAATTGTGCAGGGTAACTTGAGTATGGTTTTGTGAGAGAGAGACAATATGGGGCAGATGGTGAAAAATGCCAGGAAGAGAAAGACAGCAGAAGTATGTGGGGGGAAAGAGTTTGAAGGACCTGACATCAGTGGAGGTGTCCAGATGAAATCTTTGTAAGGGGAAACATAGTTCAAGTCCCCAGTCACTTCTTTGTGTTCAGTCATGAATTTTAGGTACTGAATTTACTTCTTGAGAAGTATTCACAGGTGTGTGATAAGTAAGCAGTGATTTTCAGATACAGTTTGTTTTAGTGAACGGGAACCAGAGGGATCTCACATAGCCAAGGTGTGAGGTGTGCAAAGCCCACTGGGACCACACACATCCTTGTGCTTCCCCTGATCTTGGATGAAAGCATAGGCACCTCTTGTTCTGAAATCCATGTCAGATCTCTCAATGAGAAGTGTAGAAAGGCAGGTCACTGGCACAGGACATGCCATCATAGGTACCTCACCAAACAGAGAAATGTCATTACTGGGGAGAGACATGAATCTCATGCTACTGTCTTTAAGAGCAAGTGTGGTTAAGAAAATGTAGTAGGTCATTGCAGTGGAGGCATCATTCCTAAGGCAGGTCTTGGACATACAGAGGAGGAGGAGAAAGTTGTCAGCTCTAAGTAAGATATGTGCAGAATACTGACATTGCTAGAACCTGACCCAGTGGCTGCATTTAGTTGATGTGTCTGATCCGTGGTGCCAAAATACATTTCTGAGAATCAAGATTACTCATTAATTACTCGCCTTGCTGTTCCCAAAAGCATACTTAATCTCAGTTTCCTTATGTTGTACTTTCTCCCTGAGTTTTTCACAAGAACCTACCTGTCATTATTAGGAATCTTGTTCTAGATGGATCAGGGACAACATCATATTTCTTAAGCATCAAACTCAAACCAATAAAATAGTACTATATGAGTTATTTCTCCCACTGTGCAACTTCCCTATTTAGTTGGCAACAGTAAATGGCCTGTTACAGTCTGTGTGATTCCCTAGTAACTTTTTTTGTCATGATCTGTTTATTTGGTTCGTCCCTCCATCTTTCATAAATAGGCCTAGCATTTTTCTGTACTTTTAGAAGTAAGGATTGGGGTGGTTTTGGAATCCTGCATTGTGTCCTATGCTAAATATAAGGCTTTTACCTACTAATCTGCAATCTTCTCTTTTCTGGTATATTTTGCAGGAGCATCCATCCCTTGGCCAGCTCTCTGAAAAGTTGATTGACAATAACATCAATGTTATTTTTGCAGTTCAAGGAAGCCAGTTCCACTGGTATAAAGTAGGTTAGAAACCTGTTTTTCCAATTTTACAAGTACAATAGTCATATTAAAAATTAAAATTGTGCATAAATTATTGTATTTTTCATAGGATCTGTTGCCTCTGTTGCCTGGTACTGTTGCAAGACAGATCGAATCACAAGCAGCAAATCTCAATGATTTGGTGGTAGAAGCCTATCAGGTATGATGAGAATGATAGCTTTGTATGCTGTATTTGTTCAGGGATTTTTACCTTTCATAGTCTAAAGCTGGAATTTCTAGGATCTTGGCATCTATCTGAAATCCACAAGGATAAGTTCCCTACTTTTCTGAATGTCCAGGTTGGTGGGTGAAGCTGTCCCACAATGGCTGTCAAATTCACAGGCTGTCAGGGTCTCAAAGCTAAGAGCTAGCACTTTTTCCTTTCTAAGCGTAATTCTAAATAAGCTGTTTGATTTTCTGCATCTGTTGCCATGTACTTTCAAGAGAAATATCTGATATATTTGAATTTTGGCATTAGTTCGTAGACCAGACACCACTGTCTCAGCACCATATAAATTCAGTGCAAAAAGATAGTGCACTATCAAGAGAGTTTTACAGCATAATTCTTAGAACATGGATAACAGGTAGGAATTCATGAGGAGGTAGTTTGAGTTAACAGTGGATATTACGGAAAGCACAAAGCAGGGTAATGACTTGGGGGTTTGAGGCATGGCAGTGTGGAAGACTTTTGATATGGCTTTGGAAAGGAACAATGGAAATGGCTCTTGCCTGGAGTTCTCAACTGCAAGTAACAGTATGGGAAAGAGAACACAGTCGTATGGGAAGAACGTGAAGTCATTTTCCACAAATGATAGACAGGGAATGGCAGCTTGAAACTGGAAACTGGCATCCTGATACTGAATGAAAGATAGTCTGGTAAGAGTGGGCGTAAACAGCTTTGAAAGTGAAGCCAAGTATGAATGCTGTTAAGGTGTGCAGGGTACACAAACATGCGAGTTCCAACAGCTGAAAAATCAGTTACAAAGCTATATGCAAGGTATCAACATGTATCACATTATTTTTAATTAGTTGGACATCAGAGGCTGAAATTATCCATTGTACTTGGTTAACCATATAAATCAGACTATTTGCTTTCAGCAAATTGGCTGTAATGAGAAGCCCAGTCCCATGTCTTTTCCTAGTCAATAGAGTGGTTTTGTGCACATTTTTCTCACTGTCATGTTGGCAACATCATGCAGAAGGTAAAGACATTCAAAAGCAGAGGAGAAAATTGTAGAGATGTTCTCACTGATACTGTACTTCATCTTATAAAATCAAGAAATGTCATTTTGAATATGGAGGTTTGCAGGAAATTGCTGGCAAAAAAAAAAAATTGAAGATCATAGTCCTTTTATATGCCACTTTTACACAGTACCCCAGTTTTTAGAGCACAATGGAAGGCAAACATACAAGGAGAGGAAACAAAAATTTACAAAACAAGGACTTAGTTCAGTGGAAGATTCTGTGGGACTTTCCTGCTCCAAGCACCCCCAGTTTCCTCTTGCCTTATTTTCATTTTTTAGACAGTGTCTTCCTTCCCATCCTAAACTTCATTGGATTTTATACTTTGAGATTTTTATCATAGTTTAGGGGCTTTTAGTATACAAACAGTGAACAGGGCTTAAATATTTTGCTTTCTTGAAAGCAAAAGTACTTAGATAAGAAAATAAATTAAGTGTTGATGTTTAATGACAGTGGGCCTCTTGCACTCTTGTTCTGGGCAGGCAAACCTTAGGCTTAGTTGTGGAAAACCCTAGCTGAAAATCCCTGGCTAAAAAGCCGAAGATGAGTCACTAATTTTCAAAAAGTTGCCAAGATAAACATGTGTTCAGATCTATGCAATTAAATATCCAGTTGTAACAGTAAATGTGACCTATTAAACTAATTTTTTGTACTAATATGCCAGGAATTTTAATAATCAATTTGTGCAGTTTTCAGCTTATAGATTTGTACAGAGTTTTAATGAATTTTTAAAAGGTCAAGTAGCAATATTCCTTCTTGGAAGTAAGTAGGATTATAAAGTATGCAGTAAATACAAATTGCAAAGTAGCCAGCTTTTTCATTTATATTTCAGAAAGCCTAATGGGAACCAACCAGTTGTTGACATGTATAGATCTACCTGACCCAAATAAATCAGTAAGAATAATTGCAGTAAGCCAGTAAGCCTCTAGATCACCCTAAGGTTTGTTCAGAGAAAACTTTTCAGGACAGGTGCAAAACATCAGACGTTTAGAAAATACCAAGTCAATTAGGAACCTTTTCTGCAGGATAATAATAGTTGTATGTATGTTTACTGTTTTATTTTAAATGTGTGGCTAAAAGGCAGCATAGCCTCTCAGACAAGAAACAGGTTTTGTTGCACATGGTTGTTACAATAGATTTTCAAATTGCAAAAAATACAGTTTCAAAACCATTTTCAAAAAACTGAAAGCATTTTTTATCTGGAAAACGTAATCTTCTTCATCAAAATTACCAGTTCACTGGTTCTGTATATTTGGAATGTAATCGGGTCTTTATATGGGAAACAATGCTTTAATTCATTCCTTTATTCATACAGAAAAGATTTCTTCATTTTTAGTCAGTCATAGTACTTGGTACTAGTCACTGATGCACATTATATGTTGAGATACAATGCAACTAAAACTTGTTTTCTGGTTACAGAAACTAATCTCTGAAGTGAAAATTCAAGTGGATAACCAGATCCAAGGACTTGATTTTAATATCACTGCAATCTGTCCTGATGGAAGTAAAAAAGCTGCCATGGAAGGATGTAAAAATGTGGGATATAATAAAGAAGTATGTCAATAATTCTTGTTCAAGCAACTGAGATACTTATTTTTCTGTTTGGTTGGGTTTCAGTGGTTTGATATCTTCTAGGGTTTTACTTAAACTGAAAATGGATTTATGTGATTAATGATCACAGACTCTCTATTATTCTCTGGTTTTATTTTTCCTGAATCTTATTTTAATTCTCACTAATCTTGTGGAACTAAGGCTCAAAGCTTTTCTTGAAAGCTAATGTCCATTAAAACTCTCCTCCTTTGTCCTCCATGGAGCACAATGGCCATGTACATTGTGATGAAATCTGTATGTAAAGGCATTGAAAGACAATCACCCTATAGAAAAGAATCACTGGAATTTGTGTTTCTTGGGTCAGTACTAGACACCACCTTTTCCTCTCCTTGCTTTAGTAGTCTTCATGCACAGTCAGGGTTGTGGATAATTGGTTTATTTTATAAATTAACTTAACAAAATTACTTATCCCCATTTGGATCAGTGCCATCTATTGAATGAAATTGATTGTAAACCTGGAGCATCATGCACCATGAAAATGAGGGGGAAGATGTCTGGCTAATGTAAAGAACATGGTTTTCTTCCCAGAACAACTTCTCTGTGCCTTGATATATTTATTTAATTCCTTAGACAAGTAGAGTAATTCATTTTGCTTGCCAGGAAGAGGTTTGTGTTTCTGGAGAGTAGGGTCAAGGAGTTCTTTCCTTCTTCACGTGTACATACATCTCAGTTGCTGTGATTTCACTTGTGTCTGTGTGAGTAAAAATAGCAAAACAAATCAGTAGATTAAATATGTGCATTTTAAATACGTTCATTTAGATGGATTTTATTCTCCTGTGAATTTTGTCTGCATGACTTACTACTGATTAGCTTCTACAGTTTAAGGGAGATTTGGTGTGTTTTTCTTCTTAAGTCTTCTCCAGTGTTGTTCCCTGTGCATGTCTTAAGAAATGAGGCTGGTATTTGTTCTGTTTAATGAAAAAGAAAATATTTATATCTGTTTCTTTTTAACAAAAAGCCAGGCCAGTTGATTGTAAAAGATTGCATGTGGTCCTAAACCTCAACTGCTGTTGAAAAGGAGCCACCCTCAAGAGATTAATTTATTTTAGCCATAAATCCTCCTTTCAGTATTTGTTTACAGGCAAAATGCTTTTCCTTCATTTTCACATTGCTTACATTGTCTGATCCTTCTTCCTTCCTTTTCTTACCAAAACACAAAGTGTGTTATATTCTGGAAGAATACTACGGCCTCTTCAGGGTGCAAAACTAACTGGCTATTAGCAAGTGTTCATGGTGTTGCAATTACTTAGTCACAATGTGCTTAATCTTTCTGCTGCTGTGTTCAGACCCATCAAATTTCACAACTCATACTCAAGACATGATTTGCCCTTCTCTCCCATCTGCCTGTCATTCTTCCAGTATTGTGTTGTACACGAAGATGACATTTTCTAGCAGGGCTCTGCGTTAAATTAAAAGCACATTCTCTAGCTGCAGCGTGTCCTCCTTGTGTGATACGCAACTGCTGCATGAATTCATTACTGCATAGACACACTTTTGTCCCAAACCCAAAGCCTACACCGAGAGTGTAGGCAACTGAGGGGTTGTGTGTGTGTAGGGCTGCATTTGAGAAACAAGAAGAAAAGCAAAGGGTGAGACAAAGCCCAAGTGCCCCCTCAATACAACATTAAGCACAAGCTTCTGCACAGCATTCTTCTCCTGTTGTCCGTGTAGGCAGCCACAGCCCAGCTCACCACAAAGCCGCCATTGTCCCCAAGGCCTCAGCTGTTCTCATGTGGGAGCACAGTGGGAGGGGCAGACAGTGATGAGAAATGAATGGCCTTAGTCTTTGTGCATCATTTCAACCTTGTATGTAATCTGTTTCTTAGGTTTTCTCTCTTTTTACTTGGAAGTCTTTGTTCTTTGGTGGTAAGGAGTAGAGGTATTTGCTCCTTTTGAGTCTCCTTTCTCACTTTTTCCTCTTGGTTATATTTTCTCTGTGAGAAGGCAAGGAAGAGTTGTTTACATCAGCAGGCTAAATAGCCTTAGTGAGAATGACCTGTCATAAGCCCAGAAAAACCCCAATTTTGAAATACAAGATTGCTATCCAGTCAAAACCATCAAAGAGTTTTGGTAGTAAGGCAAATTCAGTGGCAGTCATCTACTCACCAAAATTATTCAAGTTCCTGGAAAGCCACAGAGGCTGCTGCTGCAGTGGGTAATACCAGGGTGAGGACCTGGAGCATGGTTGTGATGGCCATGACACAGCCACAGTGTCATGGCCGCATGGACACAGCCACATGGCCAGGACGCTGGGTCCACTCTGAAGCAGCACTTGGTCTGCCCAGGACCACAAGAGCAGTAAGACTCTTTTGCATGATCCCCATTGCAGGAATTGGGAAAAATAAGCTGCTGCTAAGGCATGAGCCATTTCTGGGTTTTGATAGTAGATAGAGCCATGACAAAAAACTGCAGTTTCTATTTTCACAGACTATTTCTACAGCAAGAGCATTCATTATAGATCCTTTTTATAAAGAGTATCTGTTTCTGTTTGTGTATTGTCTTGCTCAATCCAGTCCCAATTCTCATCTGAGTATTTCTAAAATATAGCAGAACATACACATTAAATAATAATAGGAGGATGATGATGGTAATTCTATTGCTATTTAACAAGTATTAAACATGTGTTTTGCAGCTGTGCTTTCTTAACATGAAAAGTAGACTGCTCTCAGTCTTACATTATTAGGAATTTAACTGTATTTGTGATGCCTATCATTACTATTGTATCATATTTGACAAATGGCCACTGTGTGTTTTGTCATTATTAGCTAGTGCACGTTTGTATACAGTGTCAGATTCTGCTTTATTTATGTGTCAAAAATTTTATGCAATTTATAGGAAATAATAATGGTGTAAAATCTGTCTTTATTTTTTCTTAGGTACTTTTCAATATATCAGTTACAATGAAAGGATGCGATACAACTGGAGGAAGACAATATGCAATACTTAAACCTATTGGTTTCAATGAAACCGCCATTGTTAATGTGCAGAAAAGCTGTGCCTGTCAGTATGGAGACAGTACAAGGCACAAAAGAGTATGGACTGATGAAACTTTTTCTGATGGCAAACAGTCCCCTTGCAGTGACAATAACTGTAGCTTTAATAGAGATACAGTTCCTTCTGAGAGGTGCAGACAACACCAGGACCAGCCCATCTGCAGTGGTCAAGGAAATTGCATAGATGGAAAATGTTTCTGCTACAAAAACAAGCTAGGCAAGGTCTTTGGCAAGTACTGTGAAATGGATGACTTTTCCTGCCCATATCACCAGGGAAACTTATGTTCTGGTAAGATGCAGAGTTTATGTCTGTATTTTCTTTTTTTGGTTTTGTTTCATTTTCTGAAGGTTATGTATATGCTGCAGCTGAAAACAATGATGTAATGCTGTCAGGTGCTAGAACTCTGTGTGCAGGATTAGCATGTGAAATGTCCTGAACAGCCTGGTAGGAATTCTGGAATCCTGGGCTTTCTTTGCCACAGAGTTATGCACTGTCCTGGGTTCAGCAGTAGCAGTCATTTTTCTCCTTCTTGGTAGCTGGTGCAGTGCTGTGTTTTGACTTTCGGCTTGGGAACAGAGCTGATAACAATGATGTTTTGGTTTGGCCAAGGACTTTGTGAGAATCATGCTCTGCCAGGGAGGAGGGGAAGCCGGGAGGAAGCAGAGACAGGACACCTGACCCAAACTGACCAAAGAGGTACTCCATACCACAGCACGTCATGCCCAGGATGTAACTGAGAGTTAGCAGAAAGGGCTGGGAGTCTGCAGGGTTGGAGGAGGTATCGGTCGGTGCTTGGTCAGGCTGGGGGGGGGGGGCAAGTTATCGGTTGGCTGGTGGTGAGGTGATGTATTCTCTTCCCTTGTTATTTCCTTTATCATTATTATCATTGGTGGTAGCAGTAGTGATTTGTGTTATGCCTTAGCTACGAAACTGTCCTTATCTCAGCCCATGGGAGTTGCATTCTTTTGATTCTCCTCTCTGTCCCTCTGGCAGTAGGGGGAGGGAAAGAAGGGGTGGGGGGAATGAGTGAACGAGTTGCCTGACTGGGTTTAAACCACCACATGCACTGTCTTCTAAACTTCAGCCCTGCTTTTTAGGGGATTTATTGAGTTATTTTTAAGTTTAGCTATTTGAAGATTTAAATCTCAAACTTCCTCAGAAGTAACAATACTGATATCTTGGATAAGATGGTAACATTATTCCAGAAGGTAAGTTGATATATTCAGCCTGGTGGGAATAGAGATGCTAAGAGATTAGGAAGGAATCATAACTTCCAGATGACGATCTGATTTTCTTACACCCAAAATCAGACTTGTGGAAGATACAGTGACACTTGATTCAAATAACTGATAAGTATGGTAAAACCATTCAGAAAAGGAGAGTGTAAGTGAAACATAAACAGGGAGAGTTGTTAGAAATTCTTATTCTTTTTGTGGCCTACTTTATGTTTTTTAAAGAAAACATGCAAATGAAAATTGTGTATGAACAAAATACAAAAAATGTACTTCTAAGTTAGTGTTAGAAAGAAAAAATGGGATTGAATCAGTATCATTAATTTATCACTACTGGATTTTTTTTTCCCCTCAGAAACATTTTAAAATATGTACTGCTGTTCTGCATTCTTTTGTTTCACTGCATATTAACCAGTGATGAATTAAGGGACCAATTTTTTATCCACAGTTGGATAAATTGAGAGTATTACTGTGGACTTCAGTAAAGTTACTTTGGTTTTGCTCTGCTGGTGACTGTGAACTTTACATAAAATGAAGAGCAGTAATGTTACCTAATCCTTTAAATACTTCATTGAAACAAAAAGTATTACATTTCATCTTTTAACTCTTCTTCCCAACCCAGTTTGCAAATTTACTATCTTAGTCATACGCAAACCTTCTAAATTTACAAATTCCTGAAGCCTGAAATACGGTGCCCTGGTTGGCAGAGGAGCCAGGGAGATCTTTGTATAAGAGTTGTTGGAGACTGTCACCTGTATGGAGTTCTGCTATAGGCTACTGCAAGGGGAATCTGTTGCCCAGAGCCCCACGGCTGGGCAGCATGCCTCTTTGTGGGATGTTTTCCAGTGCAAAACATTGTTCTGGTATGTCCTGGGATACCTTTCCTCTCTCCATTTTGCCCAGCCCAGGCAAAAAATGGGGCAGCCTGTACCTTGGCCTGACTCCAGGCCAGATCCTGTCTGTTAGGTGACACTGTCTCCCTACAGCTGCTCTGGAGCACAAGAAGGGCCATCACAGTCTGTGAAACTGAAGTACTGCTGAGGTGTAGTTAAGGAGACCTCATGAGATTTCCTAGGCCTGCCAGTGTTTTATGTGATCTCTGTTTCTGTATTTCCTAAGGGTGCTCTCACATGCTGTAAAAATGTGGCTAAACATTATCAGCAGGTTAGTTATGCACCTGCCTAAATGTGCCACAACATGGAAAACGTGGATTTTACCCCAAAGTTCACACTGTTTTGCCTACAAAATTGTAAAGGCCACCAGAGATTCTTACAGTCTTTGAGTCCTTGATGTTGTCTATTTTAAGTTCTTATTAAATAACCTACAGTTCATAAGCACAGCATATCTACCTGTCCAGCTCAGTCATCCGTCCTTTAGAAAGGCAGGAACCAGTGCTGTCATACATGCTCCTGAAAAGGAAAAAAACCCAACCTGGCATGTTCACATGAACTTGATACTCCTTCTGCTACCGAATCTTTCTGTTTATTTGATTTGAATGGTTTCTTGCTAAAGAGAAGTTTGTTTAGTTTGTCTGAAGACCATTTTCCTGATCATTATGTAATTTTTAATCCCCACTGCTTTGATCCAAGGCAACAGGGAAAAATTTTAGTAAGAGGTTTTAAGGATGACATCAAGGTAGAAGCTTTTGCTCAACCTAGCAACAAACAGCAACCATAAATATGTATCAGGCTGGTAATTTCAGTCAAATCATTAACTTAAAAATTAATTAGCAAGCCAAGGTCTAAATTAGCTCTGTTTAATGTGAAGCACCAACAAATACAAATGTATGCATATAAAAATCGACTCCCTGTGTTTTCATGAAAGTGTATGACTCAGGACTGTCTGCTGTTGTAGGTAATGGTGAATGTGAAGCTGGTAAATGCAAATGCTTCACTGGCTGGGAAGGTGACCTTTGCCAGTGCTCGTTACAATCAGCAAAATACTGCCTGAATTCAAATGGCCAGATTTGCAGTGGAAGAGGAAAATGTGTATGTGGAAAATGTGAGTGCACAGATCCAAGAAGCTTTGGCCGTTTGTGTGAATATTGCCCTACTTGTAACAAAGCCTGTGAAGAAAACTGGTAAGTTTCTTGTGCTAGACTTGACTTTTTAACTCTGAAGTGTTGAAACTAGAATTATTTCTGCTTGGCTAGACGTGTGCTACATGTCTTAGATATTTAGTTTAGGAAATGGAAATAATTTATGCTTGTGAATTTTCTGTATGTAACTGAGGGGTTCACACTGGCAGTTAAGAGAATTGCATGTCTGTATCTGTGTTCACCTGTCTGTGTCCTATTTTCAGCTTTCTGAAGTCAAAGGAAGTGTGTCCTATGAGTATTGTTTTTTTGTACTTTTATTAAACAATTGTTCTTCATATGAAATCATCTGGGCAGGAAATAAAGCCTGTGAATCTGGAGCTTTAAAAGAGACAGTAGAACCTACTCTTGAATGCCACCAAGTGCAGTAGTCTCCAGATTTGTTTTTTGAACATTCCTTGTGCTTCTCAGATGAAAGAAGGAAATGTGAGTGTTGAACAAGAGCAGATCTGGTCTTACACAGAGAACAACTTTCTCTGCTTCTCAGTTTTAGTCTTTGCTGTGCTAAAGTATGTCATTTTTTCTTACCCTTGTAAAAAAAAAGGGACAGTATGAAGGTTGAAATGAGCAGTCCAAGGAGAAGAGAAGCTAAACCAAGCCTCAGTGGCTTTAAGCCAGCACTGAAAAGGTGACTGCTAAGACTTTACTGTATAAAATGTGTTTAGTCCTGCTGGCTTACACTTGTTCAAAGTCACTGTGAAATGTATGCCTTTAATAAATTCAGAACATGGCGTAGTCAGGGCTTTTGCAGGATAACTGGTGGTGTCCATCTTCAGCAAGGCTATACAGTGAAGATAGTAGGTAAGACTGACAGTGCTGGCTTGCACTGTGCTGCTGACCACTTGAACTGCCCAGCAGAGGGAACTTAGATGGCTTTGTCTTAACATAGCATCCAGAAAAACACTAACAAAGCTGTGTTTCCTACACCTATCTCTACCTTTCAGTTCCAACATGCATCTTAATGATATTTCCCCTGGAAAACTCACATCTCAAAATGCAGAGCAGAGGCCAGATGAAGGTGGCTTGAAGCATGGTTTAACTTTACAACTTCTGACTAGTTGGTTCAGAGAAACATCACAGGGATAAAATGCTGAGAGAGGCATCACATTTCAGAAATAAATAAATGTTGCAATGGTTTTAGTAACAGCAGGAAAGCATTATGTACAAGCAATACATCAGCCTGTTGATACCATCTCTGTAAGGGGAGTGCAGAGAAAGACATAGGTTTTTAATTACATCTTTATTTTACAGGAATTGTGTTCAGTGCCATAATTCTAACAATGCATCCCAAGCCATACCTGACCAGTGCACAACCTCATGCTCTTACCTGCTGCATTATATTGACCAAACTTCAGGTATGTAACATTTTCTAGGTAATTTTAATGACATGATAATCCGTTGGGATTAATAATAGAATTTACCACTGTTACAGTGTCTTTCAAAAGTGTGTTGTAGTATCACAATAATAAAAGAAGAAAACAGGAAAAAGTGAAAAATTACTCATAGCTTTAGGGAAAGTAGAAGATAAATAATAACAGGAAATGTGATTGGCAAGCATTGCTAAATCAGATTTCCCAGCTCCTTGAGGAGTCACATCTAATAATAATGAATCCTGCTTGAGCAATGCTTAAAGAAATATTTATAAAAATATACTATGGTATATGTATATTTATTGGTTTGGATATGCTTACATTATTTGACATCACCAGAAATGAGGAAGAATTAAGTAGAACGCTTACCTCATGTTCAGTAGTGTTTAAATACTCCTTTCAAGTATAAAATACTTTATAGTTATGAAGGCTGTGAAAGAATACATTTTCTTTCATAAAATCTCCTAAGAGCTTAATCAGTACATGTTGCAACCAAAATGCAGGTAAATGGTTACCTTTTGTCACTTCACATAGTTGTACCTCTTTTTATCTTGTGAGGAAATTAACTGTGAATACTTTTCTCATAACTTTAGAATTAATTAATAGAGCTTACTCTGTGAAAGAGGTCTACCAGTGAGGAGAGCACTGGACAAGGATTCAATAAACCACATTTTCTGTCATATTTCACCAGTGATCTACACTCTAATCTTGTGAAGGTTATAAACTGGCTTGGCCCTGTATATCCCTAACGCTTCATCCTCTATTTCATCTATAAACTCAGCGGTTTACAAAGAATTTATGGTGGTCAACACAATGAGGCCTGAGTCTTAGTTTCATAGATTAAAGGAATAATAGTTCCACCATTTTTCTACAGCAGATCTTAATCAGAATTCCCTTTTTTGATATGCCCACTTTAAAAGCTTGTATATGGCAACTTTTCATCTTAAGTTATTTTCCCTTAACTTTTATCAAGCTAGTGTTACATTTATGTGACATTACTAGGCAGTGGTAATACCTGTTGTTTGAGGGATGTGCCTATTCCATACATTAGACTTTACACTTGTGTTTTCCTTTCATTGCAGAATGTTTCCCTGGACGAAGCTACTTTAGGGTCTTTTCCATAATCTTTATAGTTACCTTTCTGATTGGGTTGCTTGTTGTCCTTATCATCAGGCAAATAATTCTGCAGGGGAGTAGCAATAAAATTAAATCTTCAGCTGATTACAGAGTATCTGCAACAAAGAAGGTAATTGATTTCAATACTCAGTAATCTTTTTCGAGCATATACGAGTTAGCTAATCATTGACAAAAATTGTATCTTCTCCTTCAAGGATAAAATGTTTTTGCCTACTGTATGTACAAGAACAGTAACATACAGACGTGACAAACCAGAGGAAATAAATATCAACATCAGCAAGTTACGATTAAATGAAACTTTCAAGTGTGAATTCTGAAGACTGTGTGTTTTCTGCAAATGTCTGTCTCCATCACACAACTTTTTTAAAGTTATCTTCTGTACTCTATTGGAGTTGTGACTGTTGCCGTATGGTTTTGTGTCCTGCGATGCTGAATACTGTAACGAAGTCACATGTAAGCATATTCACATAATGTGACTATGTTTGAAACTATAGCTGCTGTATTTTTTAATGGTTTATTTTTTTTGAAAGAGAAATGTGCGTTACTACTGTTCAGGAACATTAGTTTGATGTAGCACTTTAGCATATTCTAATTTATTTAGTTTTGCCCTAGAATGTAGATATGAACTGGTCTGACAAATCGCTGATCTCAGTCTACATGTAGCTAGTAGTGTTGTGCTCTGTGGGAACGGACAAAAGCTGTGACTGAAATATTAACACTGCTGTATAGTATAGCAATAGATGAAATTTTTCAAATGCTCTTAAATAGAGTAAATGGTACTTTTATAGTTCTCTCAGTTGACAAATTCCACTGATTTGTCTGCTTTAGCCTCTTAGCTTTTCCTCATTACTTAATAGAAATAATTGGACTGAATGAGTTACTAGTGTGGGTGTACAGTTGTGTGTGTACACACACACGCATACACACAGAGGTAAATTATATGTAAAGTTTTTTATATGTATGAAGTCACTTAAACATAATTTATATCTGGTAAAGATTGATTTTTAGCTTTTTTACTTGTTTCAACATAAACACTTTTATACAAATTTTAAGGTATTTGGAATCTGAGTGGCTACAGAAAACAAGAGTTCTTCTGTCCAACAACATAGTGTACATGATGATCACTGCCAGCTGACTTCAGCTCTGGAGACAGCATCATTTCCATTGGAAATAGATAAATTACACCAGAGCTGTGCTTGTTTGCTAGCTACATGTCAGTGTTTTGCTAAATGAAGACTTTGTTCTTTTTTGTATGATGTCAGATGTAAGTCTGATTTTACACATGTGCTCTTCTTTCTATGCAAATTAGTGGACAGAATTAGTTTTTGTGAATTCTGATGTAACCACTTCCATTTTTGTGACTATTCATTTGTGACATAAGAAATATGTCCAGTGTGATGTGGAAAAAAAACTGCAATTTGGAAGGAGGTGGAGAAAACAGGAGTCTTTTTTTCTCAAGAGAACACATTAAATGACTTCATAAATGTGGGATCAGATTCTTCCTTCAGAAATGGGCAAATCTCTTCTAAACACAGTGGGACCAATATAAGCTTATCTGAAAGCAGAATTTGATCTGCATGGTCCAGCAGAAGTGTTTTCTTACCTCTGAAACTGGCTACAGTGGTAGAAGACGAGTTATTGTTATAAGCTAGTTGGAAGAGTCAGCCTGATTTACTAACTTTATGCTGCCAAACCCTATGAAAATATTCAAGGTCTAATGCACTACAATTTTGCTGGCAAAAAGGAAAATCATCTCAGAAGACAGTATGCAGTGTATCATTTTAGGAACATTAATTACTGCTACTGAATATTGGTCTGTACTTGTCATACATAAGAATTACAGAAACAAAGCAGGACCACTTTATATGCAGTTTGTAGAGATTAGTATATATTCTTATTTCTTATTCTGTATTTCTTCTGTAAATTCACGCTGAAATCTGAGGAGTATACATGTGAAAGGAAGGCAGGACACAGAACAAATGATAAGTGCTATGTGAGTGTTCATGGTTTCTTGGGTCATGCATGAAGTGGAATTGAGAAAAATAATATAGAGACAATGGGCCTTACATTAAATTGACATAAAATCTTAGACCTTAGGGGTTGTTGTTTTTTTTTAAATGTAAACTGGACTATTCATTATACTAAAGCAGTCTTCAAAGTAGTCCCTGAGCTTTCTACCAAACAGGTAAAAGTGTCTCTTATAAACAAAAGGGTTTTTCTTACACTGACCCCGATTTTAGTGACAGCTTAGTTGTAATATATTTATTAGAGATTAATTCTGTAATCTATCATGTATACCTTAAACTTTAATTTTCTTTTAAAACCTGTAGAAACATTTTCCTCCTCTGTAAATTAACATATTCCAAACAATTGGTTTCAGTGGGATAAAGAGAGAAGATTGATAAAGGTTTTTACCTGCTATTGCCCTTGTCACAATTCATTAGTATTTTTGAGTAGGAAACAATTTGTGGTTATCAGTTTCACTTAATAAACAAAAAAACAACTGAAAGCTTAGTGGAGGATATCTGAGTATATAATGAAAGATGTGATTGTGTTCTTTAAACAGTGCGGTAGTTTTCTTTGTAACAAAATCAATTCCTCAGAATGTATTTCCCATAATGGCCTTTAAAGCATTTACTGAACTGATAGCTAATGTTTTTTCTTTAGAAACTACTTTTTGCTGTTAGAAGGTCTCAAGTTATATGGGTAGGGGACAATGAATGTTCTTTGTGGAAGAAAGATTTAAGTTGTAACAGCTGTCTTCCAGATAACATCAAATACTTTTCTTGTGTAGCACTTAGTTGGCATTGCAGTGCTGCCTGCGAAAGGGCAGGGCCAGTATTTACTTATGAGACACCTGCCTGAATGTTTAAAATGCTCTGGTCAAACAGAGCAGGTTTACAGGATGAATTGCACTGTAAACTACTTGGTGTCCTGAGATTAAAAAAAAAGTATATTAACAAAAAAAAAAGGAAAAAAACAAAGCTTTTATTGCATCTTATTGTGGAGGAGGCCAGTGAAAATGAATAAGCTGCTGCTAATGTGACAGGTCAAGGCTTTTAGAAGGCCCACGAGGAGCTTATACAGAGCAGGATCCTTTGGGGGAGGCTTTGTTTCTAAGGATTGAATCTATCCATGAGAAACTCTGGCTTTGCTTGGTACTTGTATCCCTCTGCCTTTGACCATGTTTTTCGGAAGAGCTGCTGCAGGAGATGAATAGCCCAACAAAAGCCTCACTATTTAGGGAGCTGTGTTCCCTCAGCACATGACCTTAAATGAGAAAGCAGCCTGTAATTCACAAGGAATTTCCACAGCGATTGCAGAAGGACTCTGCTTCCTATAGTGCTTAATATGGGAGATAGTAAAGACTAATTAGTTCATATTCGTTTTCAATTTATTGTGCGTCAAAGATGCTTATAAACGTGGCAGGGGGGAATATCTAGCCTCAGAATAGAATGTTCCAAACTTCTTGAATAAAACTTCTTATACTGGGCTTCTTAAAAAAAAAAAAATTCAAATAATTCAACTGCATGCCTATTCCCAAAAATACACCAGCAGATACTCTTGCATCTTATAATTGTTTCTGGGAGTTGTTTTTAGATTTGCTTCCATAAACAGAGCATGTGTATGATTCTTCAACAGCAGATTTGTTAATACCAAAATCCATATGTATACTTTCCAAATTCTAATCCCATTTCTTTTGCCTTTAACTAGTTATTTTTCTAACATTTCAGAATGACGTGTTTATACAATTAAAAAGTATACATTTTACTTCTGATTTTCTTTAAAGACTTCACAATGAAGAAATACCATGAACTGATTATTTCTAAGCATAAGTACATTAATAACATTGCTACAGAAGTATGTGGGAAAAGAACTGTTTCATGCAGAAAACGTGAACATGGTATGCAAGGAATTTTCATTGTGCCCAGCTGAAATTCCCTTACATTCACAAGGAATGTTGAAAGAGAACCTTAAAAAGGAAGGACATTTGTATAGGCATAGCTTACATTTTATCCATTGTTTTCAACTGGATTTATTTTTTCCCTTTCTGTAGTATCATGAAAACCTGCTATGTAAGGTATTCTTCAGACAGCAGTGGAAAAATTTTTTTTCCCAGTCTGAACATATATAATACTTGTTTCCTGCTTAGTGTGCTTACCTAAATGTACATCTGTTGCAAACCGTGGGAGTGAATGTGTGAAGCAACTTCCAACAGCCCTTAGTCCTAAAGTGGCCATAAGGCCTAGTGATGTCCAAGGCAGAGAGATGCAAGAGCACTGCTGCCTGTACAAGGCCTTGAAGAAGGATAGCATCCTCAGCAGGCGTGATGTATCATGCAGTTCCTGCAGCATCCATACAAAGGTGGTGCTCTGAGAACACAGTTCTCCATTTGCCAGGGCAGGAAGCCTCTTCAAAGTAGGTTGGCTCAGAAGACATGGTGCGGTTTGTGTCCAAGCTGCTTGGCCACACTTTGAAACTGCATTTCGTGCAGCCTGCAACCCTCAGCACTGCAGACTTTAGCATCTTTACTCATCAAAAAATGATTGTATGTAACCTAGCAAGGGACTGTCTGTGCCAGTACGTACTGTAAACCTGGATGCTGATGACTGACATTAAAGCTTCTGGGAAGTCTTTGGGCATCTGCCCACTGATTTCTCACCAGATCCAGGATCTCCACCAGCCAACCTTAAGGAACATAAACTGTAGCTGGAAAAAGGCACTTAGCATAGAGGCATTTGTGCTGAGTCAGTGCTGGGTGACACTTCTGCTCTGACTGCGAGTGAGGTTACTGACAGTGCTCAGGCTTTTGCAAGAGAGGGGAAAGATTTTTTTGCTAAGCAGATTAGAGGAGCAGTTGAGAAGAACACCACTTTTTAATGATAGTGCTCCAATGCACAGACATCTCATGGATCTTGCAGGGAATTGAAATTCATGGAGGGGGAAAAAAGGTTAAAATTAGCCAGCATGAATGCATTTCCATAGCGAGCCAAACCAGTGGGTTTCACCGAGTGTAAGCCAGCTCAGAATGGTTAGCCTTTCTGGGGTGGGAGGTGGAGGAGAGAAAAAGAAAAAACCTAAAACTGGTAAATTCTTAAGATTTATAAATGCTGCTCTGGATTGCATGTTCTCTTTGTTTCCTTTTCTGCACACACTTTAAAAAAAAAGGTACCTACTTAATAAAATAAAAATAAATCAGACATTTGTTAAAATAATGGCTTCTACCCAAATCCCAGCATCCTGATACTTGTATTTGGGCTGTTTCAGATTATTTTGAAGGGACATGTTGAAAGATTCTTTTGGGAAGGCATTAGAGTTCGATGAATTCACTGTGCTAACATCTTCACTTTTACCTACTACTGCTTCAAAAAATAAAGTATTTTTAAACATCTTATTTAGCAATGGTGTGACAGCTATTAATAATACTACAGTTTTAAAATTCCTGTTTAACATATACTACCTTTTGTAAAAAAAGTATATACAGACAATGTTTCTCTAGAGAATGTTAGTAAGGGAAGAGGTTTTTAATAAATGTATAACTTCTTACTGTTCATCTTACATTTTAAATGATACTTTTAAATCACTACTTTTGTCATCTGAAAATATACTGAATATTTTATTATTTAAAATAGTATACTTTTATAGCTGTTTATTAATTTCAGTTGACTACTAACTTCTGTTATTTATTAATGACTTGACACTGTAGTATATTGAGATGTTTATTTTTCTATCAGAGCTGTAACAACTATGACATTGCATTATTATAATGCAACATGATTGTACTTGCTCTCTAAAAAAATAAAATCAATATTTAATCCATATGGATTTTTCATATTTGTAATGCTTATTATGTCTGTAATAAGTTAAGGAAC